CACTATAACAACTAAAAATTAAAATACTGCAGTTGTCAACACGCATGCAAAGCGTGACAACTACGGCAAATATCCCCCCTGTGAGGCAATCCACGAGGGAGGCCTATGTTCGCCAGTGAACTTTGAGTTCGATCATCATCATCATCATCATTACAGCCTTTCATAAGTCCACTGCTGAACATAGGCCTCCCCCAAGGAATGCCACAAAGCACAGTGCTGAGCCACCTGCATCCATCGACTTCCTGCATGTCTCACTAGGTCGTCACTCCATCTCGTGGGGGTCGCCCTACACTTCGCCTACCGGTACGAGGCTGCCACTCGAGAACCTTTCTTCCCCATCGGTTGTCGGTTCTTCGAGCTATATGGCCGGCCCACTGCCACTTCAGCTTACTAATCCGTTGGGCTATGTCGCTTACTCTGGTTCTACTCCGGATGTCCTCATTTCTAAGTTTATCACGCAGACGGCTCCGTGGCGCAGTGGCTTAGCAATGAGTTGCTGCGCTGGGGGGCGCGGGTTCGAATCCCGCACGGGACAAGTATTTGTATGGCCTACAAATGATTGTTCCGGGTCTGGATGTTTGTCCTTGTGAAATTTGTGTTTGTAAACTGCCTCCACGATACAGGAGAAAATCCTAGTGTGGGGGTAACGTTTTTTAAAGAAAGAAAAAAAAAAGAGAAACCCCGAGCATAGCCCTCTCCATAGCTCACTGAGCGACCTTGAGCTTCCTCATACGGCCAGCAGTGAATGACTACGTCTCAGATCCGTAAGTCATCACTGGCAACACGCCCTGGTTGTACAATTTCGTTTTAAGGTTTTGAGGTACGTCTAACGAGAAGATGATGTTGAGTTCGATAGGCTGTTTGTTATGTTTAATGAAATCTTCTTATTAAGCTTAATGAGGATCTGTGTGACGTTTTAAATACAGTTCTTATGATCCATTATAAACAGAATTAAATGATACCTTCTTAAGCATAACCGCAACTGTGTATATATATATTAACGAATTTATATTTTTAGTAATATTTTGTAATTTTCAAAGCGGTCAAAATGGACAAGCCGCGCTAATAGATTGTGATAAAAGTCTATATAGGGTTATGTTCTGTTTGGAGAAAATTTTTGATTTCTAATGCTGGGGCCACAGTAACGAGAAACGTCAATGCCCATAAACGCAAAAATTATTGCTTTAATTTTAACGCGATAAAGTGAGTGACTACACTCGAACGGTCAACGTCATTTCAATTTCAATGCCATTGAACGGCGTTAAAGTTGGCGTTAATGTTCCTTGAATTTATTAAATGGGTTTTATAATAACCCATTAGGCTTTCCGTCGTCCTTTTAATTTCTTCGATAGTTGTTTTAAAAGGTAATAATTGCATAATTCGTAGCCAAGCATCATTTTGCGATAAAAAGTAAGATTCTTATAACTTTTGATTCTCGGATCCCACAAACATGGCTCTGTTTGCAGAATCTCAAGAAACGTAATAACTTTTTCATTATTCCATTCTATCAGTCATACGTGCTACCCTATTGCACTTCACCGTGCACAAAATGAGACGAACGTAGTGTGGCCGCTTCAACACGTTATTACGTGCGTTAATCTCTTTGAAGTATCGCCACTTGAGTTATCGCCAAACGGCAAACGGCATTGTTAATGCCGTTGTCAAATTAACGCGTTAAGTCGTGGCCACACCTACATTCAATGTCCATCAACGTGATAATTAATGACATTTCTCGTTAGTGTGGCCCCAGCATTAGGGTGGCAAAATAGTGAATGAAAGTTTTTATTGTAACTATTTAGACGACATTCTAGCTTTTAATACCCTTGCGTGGCTGCCACGGTCCGACTTGAAGTTCAATCGGGTCCTTCGTCTAGGGTGATACAAGTTATTACAAAATTCATTTCGACATTTTGAAAACTTTGTATTACAAGTATAAAAAAAAATTATTACATTTGCTAATTAGCTCATTTTTAAAACAAGTTTTTTAGACTACGCTTTGGAGAAATTTTAAATATGATTATAGTCCAATGTAGTTTACATTGTAAACAGATGATAAAACTGATGAGTTATTTTTTAATTTTAATACCAGCGTAAAATAGTAACTTAACGCTGTTGTGTTTTGTACTTAACTTTTACTGGAAACGAGGCATTCTATCTTAGTCCTCACGGGTGACGTACCGTGAGGGACGGGAGGGTAGATGTAGATGTATATGGACCTCAGCAACCACTTACCATCAGGTGCACTGTGTGCTTGTTTCTCACCCTTATCCTATATAAAAAAAAGAAATTTAACTATTTTTTAATTCAACATTTTTATGGTGTAATAGTATTACGTATTCCCACATTTGTTTTTTGCATTCTGCTTAGTGCTCTGCCTCTAGTCTTCTCTTGACACAAATTTTTGGGACCTGTATATAGAATGAACTTGATATAATGGGCACTCATACGTTTACAGCAAATATACATATACGTTCGCGCGATTGCATTCATGGCATTGGAATGTACAACTCTTGTTTCAATTTGAACTGATGTCTTTAATCAATTACACTGTGGTGGTTAAAATAAATCTTCATCAAGTTACTATGATATTATCATGAATGACTTCTTTCGTATTGCTGTTATTTTAAACGATAATGTCGTACATATGGCTATGAATTAATTAATTGAGAAACATATGTAAAAGTCCAAAGTTTTTGTGTCATAGTTAATCTTACCTGTGAAATATAACAGGCAATGATTTTTGAATGAAAATGATCTTTAGTCAGACTTGCTAGTTTGCAACTGGAAAATGAAGTACATGGAGTTATGATTTTTATTAATAATTTGTTTAAGGATGGCGTTGCGTTCTGATGCTATGTAGGTATGTTCTGTTTTCTGCAAATGCAAATTCTATTTTAAAAGTTTGCTAAGCATATAAATTTATGTAACTTAAATGTTTTTTTTTAATTTACACTTAAATAACAGCCATAGTGCTTTTTGGGATTTTTTCGTAATGATTCCAAAAATTCGTACTTACTGTTCGTTTAAGTAGGTATGTACATACGTAGAGTACTTATCTGTAGACCGACACTAGACACTTTATTTATTTACACTACTACTACATAACTACTAGATCAGTCACTGAATCAGGTAACGTACGTAAACCAAGTAAATATTATACGATACGGTCGTTTCTACTTATCATTATGTCGGTAGTCGAGAAAATGTGCAGCCTATATGTTATAGGCTGTATATAGATTAGGTATAGGTATTTACGTCCTATTGCTGCGCACAGATCTCTTATTTCTAGAGGGTTATGGAGCCATTAGTGCATTTCAGCGTACTTCACATGTCCTTGAAATATTTTTTCCTTCAGTTTATGTTCACCGGTGTATCCGGTGCACGTATTAAATCAGCATTTAAAATTGCAATTAAATATTTCATTGATTTTGTGTGTTTGATCTGTGAAATTAACAGCGAGCGTTTAGGCCCTGAACTATTGCAGCTCTTTTAATATTGACAAGCGTACAATTGAAAATAATTTTAATTGAGGTGCGCTCGTTTAGATTTAAAAAAAATTTGCTTTACGTCGACTTTACGCTTACACTTTACTTTCCCATTTCTTATTTTGTAGCAATAATTGTAATGAGTCCTGTTTTCGAATATCTATTTTAATATATCCACGTTTTTAAGCCCCTCGAGTCCCATTTTACTCTATGTGAGGATTAAATTCACTACATTTATGTAGTGAATTTAACCCTCACATACAAGTCATGATATTCATCTGCAAACAATTTGTATTTGACGCGTAATTGCATAGTACAAGTTTAAATAAATATTCTGTCGCTGTAGCGCCTGTATTAAATATAATTCGAATCAAATGCGTAGTTGATCATAACGTTAAAACCAAACCGCACTTAAAGTTAAAAAAGTTACAGCCTATTTACGTCCCACTGCTGGGCACAGGCCTCCTCTCATTTCTGAGAGGGTTTTAGGGCAAGGAAATGTCAGCCGCGCTGCCTCAATGCGTGTTGGCGAACTTCACATGTCTTCGAAATATTTTTTTTCTTATTTCTTAGACTTGCGGGTTTCCTCACGATGTTTTCCTTCACCGCCGAGCACGTGGTAAATCAGCACTTAAAATTGCAAATAACAATTTCATTGGTGCCGGCGGGGATCGAACCCGGGTTGCTCGAGTACTGTGAAGCTTACAGCGAGCGCTAACCATCTGAGCTACCATGGCTCAACCGCACTCATATTGATCAAATTGATCTGTTATTGCTGTAAACAGAGATAATTTAAAGGTTTATAGACGTAACCCGCTTTTAGATAAATTTACGAACATTTTTATCGTCTACAATAATTTAGAAATCGTATTGGAATTCGAAAAAGGAACTGCTGTTTAACCATGATGGGCAAACGTATTTGCGATCATAATATAAATCAGAACCCAAATCGTCTGGCGGAATACTATATCGGCGTCTCGTATCTGTCAGACGTAGAATATCCATACCGGCGACGTGTTGCAGCCATGATGATATGACATGATGCTACTGGTACCTACTACAATTACAGAATAAGGGTGACAAACGAGCACACGGTCCACCTGATTGCAAGTGGATGCTGTGGTTCATAGACATTTATCCTTTTATATCACATTTATCCTCGATTAAGAATCAAAATACAGATGCATTGTCATTTCTGAGGTCTACGACAGAATGCCCCGTTTCCAGTAAAAAGGGTCTCCGGCTCTCTACACTCACCATACGAAACACAGCAGAATTAAGCTGCTAATTTACGCTTGTATTCTGTGAGAGCGTGGTCCTACCTCGGTCGAGTTGACCCATTCTTGATACAACCATAATATAGCTGCAGCATGGCTCTACCAGGTGGTTATGACAAATCTCACAAAGGAAGAAGTCCATGTCTATCTGTGGACAGTTACGGACTAATAAAGAAGAAAAAATTGTTACATAGTAATACATTGTTATTAATAATCTGTATTTAAATTTTATTTACAGATTGGACGCAACGTCTACCGAGCAACTCCCACACCCACGAACACTATCTTTGAATGTAGAGTTCTCTCTCGACATCACGCCACGCTCTATTATGACAAAGGACACTTTTATCTCGTGGTAAGTCTTATTATCTAAAAAAACAAACATGCGTGAGTGTCGTGGAACACTTGGTTGGAACGAAGTTCCTTTCGTAGTACATTATTATTAATAAACGTATCATATTATTGATTAACAAATACAAATAAATGAATTACTACCCTCTATTAAAATGACGCGTCATTTAAAATCAAATAATATTTTTTTCATGACAAGACAAGAAAAAGTGCGAGGGAGATGGATATTATACCATCTCGATTCCTTATTGCCACCAAGGCCGTCTACACTACGTCAGAAGGGGTCGTGACGGAAAAGTCTTACACTTTTTGTCGTCTAGCCCCCATCCGCCAAATCCGTACCGTCCGATAAAGAACTTCGTTCCAAAACAATACATTATATTTTAAACTGTCTCTAAAGTATTAAGAAAAACATTTTCTTTGTGTTTAAGCGTCTATATTTAGTATAGTTACACTCAATATTTTGAGATTAAATAAATTATAAAAAAATAAGATATTGACTCTATTGCTGGTATCGTGGAAAGTTTTGCGTAATCTGCGAGCTGTTCATAGGTATTGGTGACCGCAAATATTTATTAGAATAGAATAGAATAATTTGTTATTCCATATAGATCACATGTGTAATTCTTATTGAGAGTAATTTTTTACTTTACCACTGGTTCGAAAAAAAAAACCTCTGTCCTGGGAAGAACCAGCAAGAAACTCAGCGGGACTTTTTTTAAAGCAAATTTTACATTAATGGTTGTACAAACTATATACGTACAAAATTTATTTTAGAAACAGCTTGGAAGCGATCCCCTCATTCCCAGGGGTTATTATCAACCATGTATTCATTTATACTATTATAACCCTTTTTATACCGATATTTTGATTATCGATATTTTTTGCCCAAGCCTACTGTGAAGCTTACAGCGAGCGCTAACCATCTGAGCTACCACGGCTCTTTCAATAACCCTAGCCTAGTGTAAAGTTATTCTTATGGCTTGCATTCAATTAAGCTCTCGGATCAAGTTCTGGCTTTTGCGAATTTGTACTGTTTACGTTTGTAAGGCTTCGTATTAAAACCCTATCGTTACATTTACATGCAAACAGCGTTACTATCCCTTATTGTGATCAATTTCAATGCGAGTTGGTAACTAAAGCTAAACCATAAGTGTCGTTCAGGTACAATTCGACCGCGACAAAAATGCTATTTGTGCTAGTTTTTCATTAGAATTCGTAGGTACTAAATATATGAATTAGGCGCTCGCCGTATGAGGTTATTAAACTGTATGGGGCTGGAAGAAATTATTTTGTACTTTTTAGTTTGTATTAAAGACGTGTATTAAATACATGGTTTTTTAACCTATTCCAAAAAGGAGGAGGTTCTCAATTCGAGTGTATCTATATTTTTGTATGTATGTTACTCGATATCTTCGCAGATTATGAACTAATTTTGATGATTCTTTTTTTTATTAAATAGGATATACTTCAAGGGAGGTCCGATATAAATTTGGAAAAAAAATTCCACCCATAAGGGTAGCAAATAAATAACTTCTTTCTTAGCAATTTGAAGTCGGTTTTTACTTTTTGTTAAAAGTTATTATTATTTAAAAAAATAATCTTAAAATTATTTCTTTAGCTTGCTTAGGTAAATTAATTTCGTCATATAATGTGCTGAACTTAATGTTTACTTTGTATTTTTCACTTTCTTTTTAAATTTTAATCATTAACCTATTTAACCGAGTTCATAAAAACCTAGTTTTTTTTTTATTTACCAATATCCCGCAAACTGGTGAACCGATTTAAATAATTCTTTTTTTTTTATTAAATAAATTTAAACTTCAGAAATTCCCTAAGGGTGGAAAAGTAGGGAATTAATGATTTTTATGTATTTATTTAGATATTCCAGTTGCTACTTTTTAAAGTCGATTTGTACGTTTTTATTAAAGTTTAACTATTATTAACTTTCTCACTATGGCTCCATAATTTCACATAATATGGTTGTTTTTGAGTTGTGATAGCTCGCTCAGGGGCTTAGCGCTCGCTGTAAATTTCACAGTACGCGAGCAACCCGGGTCCGATCCCCCCGCCTGCAACATTGAAATTGTTAATTGCAATTTTAAGTGCTGATTTACCACGTGTTCGGCGGCGAAGGAAAACATCGTAGGGAATCCATCGTATGTCTGAGAAATAAAAATAAAATATTTCAAAGACATGTGAAGTCCGCCAACACGCATTGTGGTCGAGGCGGACACTTCCTTGCCCTAAAACCCTCTCAGAAGTGAGAGGAGGCCTGTGCCCAGAAGTGGAACGTATATATGCTGCAACTTTTTTATGGTTGTTTTTGGGGAATTCAAAATAATCGCTGTCTTTCGCTATTTACATATCATGTGTGACAACTTATGATTAAAATTATCTTTTTGTGAACATTGGCTCCAAGAAGTTTTGAGTAAAGTAAAAGTACTTTAGCAAGTGAAATGTAGCATCATTGCTAAATGCACGTCGTTTATTGAAGACGTTTGCGTTGTTAGCAGGAGGCTTTTAGAGTTTCATCGGACCAATATATTTCGTATAAGTGGTGAAATTAAAAATTTTGTGCAACTGACTTCAATATAAATATAATTTATTGTTGATTTTTTTTTTAAAACCTCTCGACCGATTTCGATAAAATTTAAATGAGACCACTTGGGAAGTATATATATATATATATATATATATATATATACCTACCCTTTGAAACTAAAAAAGAATTTTCCAAATAGGTTCAGACGTGTTCGAGTAATCGGTGAACATACATAAAGAAAAAGATTCCGACGAATTGTAAACCTCTCCTCCTTTTTGAAGTCGGTAGAAAACTCTTTAGTCATGAGCAAAGTACCCTACCAAGTAAATTTTTCTACATTGCCAAATGCACGTTACACGTTACTAGTTGGCAGTCTACAAAAAAAAATTGCTAGTGCGTTAAAAGTTCTAATGTCGACGCTTTCATCACATGTTACTATTATGAAAGAACCTAATTGGTTTATTTATGTTTAGGTTCGTAACGCGTCCACTCTCACATGTTGTGACGCCCACTAGTGACTTACATTATCTCCAACGCGTGGTTGAGTGTCCTCATTCTGAAGATATTGACATCTTTGACAGATTTTCTCTTGCCCTAAATACTTAATGCCCGTTGTTTGAATTTAAAACGATGTTGAAGTGATAGCTCTTCTTATTACTTATGACAACCGTGTTGGTTTAATGGTCAGAATAATTGTCTAATAAAATGATGATCCTGGATTTAAACCCCAGCCGTAGTAGCTTTCGTGTAAAAAGGCTTATTGTTGGTTTTCGGTGATGGGTGAATTGTAATTGTCCTCGTGTCTCTGATTCTGTATCTAGACCCACGGTAATGTGTCAGCCAAGCTAGGAAAAGAAAAGAGCGACTTACCGACAGTGTGTATATTTTCACGAACCATTTCGAGCCCCTTTCGAATCCCCCATAACTCAAAATCTCCATCCCCCATAACTCTTAGACCACTTATGAATTTGCATATCTAATAAGGCCCCGTGAATACATGGAATGTAATATGTTTTTTGAATAATAATATAAATAATTATTGAGTTATAAATGTCTGAAATGTGCCATATCTATCATTTACCAAACCCTAAGGCACTTGCTAGATATTAATTTATTATTAGATTATATTAAAATTTGTTATTAAGATAGATCATAAGGCGCATAAAAAGGAAATAATCAGAAAAGTACAAAGTATCGATATTCAGTGTCGTCAAGTTATTGGTGCAGTTAATTTCAAAGACTGTACTTGAAACTAACTGCAATAATAACTGTCTAAATTTTTTAATTCATATAGTTTAAATTAAAAACAGGTGAAAAACAGTGTAGCGTAAACGCAAAAAATCATCATCATCATGTATTTATTTAGATAAATATAAGGATGAATATTTTCGAAAATTAATAATATTCTAGCAAGAACATAAACATGTGAAAAGGAGGCGAGTTCGGTACAAACGACGTTCGTGGTTGTCGCTTTCTCTGATAAAAGAGTTGAAATCTGTACGGGTGCCAAGTTACATAGCAGACAACAGTTCCAAGAACGTTGTACATTTCTATGAATCTTATTATTTAAGAGGTTAACCTTACGAAACACCTTTGATACAATTGGTGTTATTACGAGGATTTGTGGGCTACTATATTTGGTGGATATATTCAACAGACTGGAGAATTCGCTCCGGGAAAATTAGTTTTGTGTTTTCACAGACACATCTTTAATTACATTATAGACACGTAAATTATGTACTGCACTCTCTTTGTAATTTAGTATACGTGATTTTTCGTAGTTTCATGTACATTTACAAGTGAAGTGCTGTTGCTCATAGCTAGCTAACGCTTACTTTTTATTGTGTTATTTGTCGGAACGTGCTACACATATTAAGACAACAAGGTCGTCGAGTTGTATATTTTTGTTCGATTCGTATTCATATTAAACTAACTTCTCAGAGGTACATTTTTATTTTAAATTTTTACAATATAAAAAAACAATAGCCTCTAGATAGTTATCTAAACAATTTATATATTTTCTGTAATATCTCTTTCCTTCGTATTCATTGTTTCACTCTTTATACGTGTAATATAAGGCTTTACTGGGGATTCCTAATTCTAGTCGTATTATATTATACATATACTAAAAATGGTTTATATTTTGCTTTAAAAGCTACATAATATGGTGTCTGAAAGTAAATCTACCGAAGCTAGGATTTAAGATAGACAGCACTCTAGGACCTTTTCTGTCGACGTTGTAATTATTTTATGCATAGACTAAATATTTTGTTAAATACTTTATAATTGTGTTTTTTCACGTGGTAGATCCATGCTGCATATATCCATTTAGATGTCTATGGGTTACAGAATCCACCTACCATCAGGTGGACTGTCTGCTCGTTTGTACCTTTGTTGTATGAAGAAAATAGTCTTATAAACATTGAAATCCTATTACATTTCAACATTAAAGTTTTAATTACTTGATTATAATAAATGTTGATAATTTTCTACTTATATCATGTAATAAAGGAAGCAGTTGTATCGCTTAATATGCTCCATTACAATCTTAGGAATCATACCTGCAACTCATTATTTATTTCTATCGTATAAAGGTGCAAATATGACATAGTCACGCCGTAACTGGCCTCATTATGATGATTGACGCGATACGTGATTTGCCTGTTTGGAGAGGACAATGTATATATATATATATATATATATATATATATATATATATATATATATATATATATATATAATCTTTAATGTTACGCTGTTATACAAGGAATCATATATGGAATAAAACTTTATCGTCTTTAATTTAACAACAATATCATTAGGAATCCTTATAATTTTGTTCTGTCCGTCTGACCTAACGTTTCAAAGCACTATCACTTCTAAAATGATTGACATAATGAAATAAAATTATAAGAGTATATTCTCGAACACGTCGAAAATCAGGCTGAAAATTGAAAATTTGTTTAGCTCGCGTTTCGTGAAATTTTCTACTGAGTAATATTATACAATATCGGATAACTTTTACAAAGTGTATCTATTACGGGTTTCTTATATATTCATCGAATTTATTAATGTATATTATTTTTAAATACTTATATAGGCATCTTGATTGTGCGTTACCACCGCGGCATTGCAAATTTGTTCATTGACGTGATCGCAATGGAACGGGACAATGAGGTGTATTTTTATTCTTTGTAGGTATAAGTTGGAAACGCATGTGCTATACTTTTTGCAGTTGTCATTATTTATCATAGAAATAGATTTTCTCCTTTGATTTTTTAAAAATATATTATATATTTTTGATCTGCTAAGGAAATTTATGTTTGTTTCTATGTCATAGAATGTTTGTAAAGGTTTATAAACTACGCAAATTTCATATCCATTGCCTTTTGTTTCTTTTTAATTCTGGTTGAACAGACAGTAGGATAAATATTTTTTTTTAATTGAAATTTTGTTACTTATTAAGTAACAAAATTAAAAATATTTAAGAATCACAGGCTGACATTTCTTTATATATAAAAATAAAAACTAGCTGACCAGGCAGATGTTGTTCTGCCCTTTCCGACGACCCCGTGTCCTATAAAAATTCTTAAATTCGTAATAAAAAATATTGAGGATCACTTAAAAGGATAAAAACTATCTTATCTCTCAAGTTGGACCGAACTGCACAGAGTGTGCAAAATTTCATTGAAATCAGTTCAGTAGTTTAGGAGTTCATCGCGGACAAACAATGTGACACGTAATTTTTATATATAAAGAGAAAGATTATTTAATTTTAAAACTGACTAACTGTATTTGAGTTACTCCGCTACATTATTAAATACTAACCCAACAAAGCCGCGCTGTCTGCGACGACGGTATAAGTTACTGCGTTATTTAGAAAAAATTGTAACGACTCAACATTCCTGTGATTGTTCTTTAATGCATCACGTCTGCTATTCAAATGCAATGAGCCATAAGTTATCGCTTTGTCCGTGCATATTGTCCGCAACTTTTGATATCGTGGTTGTCTTTATTATTAGTTTTAAATATGGATGGAATTAGGTAACATTAAGCGTTCTATGCGTGAACAGATTTCACACATCCGACCAATTTTCAAGGCTGCGATACCTTTAGTATTCATTTATGCTAATATATTAAACTTACGAGGAGTAGATTATTAAGTGAATATATTTTTGTCTTCCATAGTTATTAGCTATTGGCAGTTTTAATGCAACCAAATAAGGATAGAAACATTTGTGTCTAATATTTGTAAATTAATTATCATCAACATTATATCGCAAGTTCGCTGCTGAACATAGGCTTTAACACAGCATAGGAATGCGAATGCCACAACCCAAACCGGTCCTGAGCCACCGCACATCCATCGACTTTTTTTATAGGAGAAGGGGCAAATGAGCGTGCCGCTCACCTGATGGTAAGTGACTACCGCTGCCCATGAACATCTGCAATACCAGGAGACTCAGGGAAATCGCAGATAAAATGGAGTATGCTCTTTTCTTGAAGGTCCCTAAGTTGTATCGGTCCGGAAAAAATCATCTCTTACCAGGTGGACTCGCTATCTAGTATGGGGCCGACCTAGCCTTCGCTTACCGTTAGACTTTTCTTCCCCATCGGCTTTGGGTTCTTCGGGATTATAATATAAACAAAATTTGCAAATTGATATATTATGACCAAATTAAAAAGTACTAAAATGTTTTGAGGAGCATTGTGTACCACATAATTGGAAGACATAATACAAAGTAAAAATTGACAAAGGGTCAGTAAAATTTTAAGGTTGCCATGAACATGGCTAAACTTTCTAGTCGTTTGTAAATTAAATAATGATTGAGCGATGTAAAATACATGGTATAATTTTAAATTACTTAATAGGACAAATTGCATTACATTATATTGGGCGACGTAACCTCAATTTGGTTATGAATTTAGTGACTATTAATTTTTTGCCAAGGTATACTTTAGCCCGTAGACAAGTAAGTCTGTCTTTGGTTAAAAATCAAAATGTAGATGCATTGTCACCCTGGTTGACGGTTCTCGTCCATTACCATAAGAAATGCAGCTGTTAAACGGCTTGCAACATTTTCCTTATAACAGCTTGAAATAATAAAAAATAACACTTCTATAAAAAATCGATCGGGGAACCCAATATTCACCATCACATACCAAAGAACTTTTCATAAGCTATAACGAATGAACTATGAATTAATTCTGTGAGAGCGCAGACAATCAAGCGTCGAACAAGACTGCTGGCATCACAGCTTTAGGTCGCTCAACCTCGTATTACGAAAGTGATTTAACGAACATTTTTAAATTTTTTTTTCTTTACCACCGTGTTATTAAAACCCTATGGAATATTGGCGTTGATCAGTGTTAGTTTCAATCTCACGCCGCAATTTGTAAACAAATCTGTTCCAGTATCGTTGTATTGCATTTCTTTTTGATGACGGCCCATGGATGTATTTGCTTATTTACAGGACAACCAGAGCAGTAACGGTACGTTCATCAACAACAAGCGGTGTTCCACATCGGAGCTTGAGCCGCAGGAGGTGTTCTCCGGCGACGTGGTCCAGTTTGGCATTCCCGTCGTTGAGAATGCTGGAAATTCGGAAAAGGTGCTTTATAATACATACATACATGAACACTCACGCCTGTCACCCAAACCCTGTGTAGGCAAAGACTACGGACTATATACCCACGCATACAAGCTCGTCGGTTGAAGGTACTAATTTGGCCCATTTTCAATATATCGCAAATTTCGTCGATAAACTTTCGCCTAGTGCGGCCCTTCCCGACTCTGCCGTTCACTTCTACAACATAAATTTGCTTTGTCACTCTTTCCTCATTCAATCTGTCTACATGATCAAACTATCGAAGTATTCCTTTCTTAATCCTAGTCACAACATCATCTTGCAAACCACACTTTTCTCTTATCACACAATTTCTCATCCTGTCATTCAGATTCAGCCCATAACATACTCATCTATTCTATTCTACTCTCACGCTTCTTCTGCCAGACCCAACTTTCACTACCATACATTTAAGTAGGGACTAACACATCAGCACTAAGAATTGCCGTACATGCCTTTTTTGACACATTCTGACTTTCCACAATAGAGTGTAGAGCCCCATTTACTCAATTTCCTGCGTTCACTCGTCATTCTATATACTTCACCATCCCTGCTATATACCTGCTACATATCCTAAATACAAAAACTCATCTACTTGCTCAATCAACTCCCCTTCTATTCTTATTTCACATATCGTTTTACATTTTTCTCTTTCAATGTAGGCGTAATATAACCTACTCACTAGGAATAATTTCGTTGTTCTATTCCTTTTTTTGGTGCTTGCACAGACTTCATAAACATAATCGGTAATAGAAGTTTTAAAAAAATTCTATTGTTTCTATATAATATTCAAAGTAGCAAAGGGCAGTTGACCTGCTGCTAATTGTACGTGTGAACGAGTGAACGACATGGCTTTTAGGTTTCTTTTTCTACCTACTTCAAAAAGGAGGAGGTACTCAATTCGCCTGAATGTTCTTTATTGTGTGATACCTGATAACTTTTTTCTGGGGGAAACGATTTCGATGAGTCTTTTTTATTTGAAAACTGGTGCTTCTCATGTGGTTCCATATAAATTTGATCTTGGTCTGATCAATAGTTTTTGAGTCATTCTTTATAAGTTATATTAAAGTCGGTTGTACAATATTTTTAATTTTAAATTATTTTTAATAGTGATGCTAAGTGGACGCTGTAGCCCATAGACTACATTTATCCTCGATTAAGAATCAAAATGCAGATGCATTGTCACTCCTGAGGACTAAAATGGAATGCCTCGTCTCCAGTAAAAGGGGTCGCCGGTTCTCTACACGCACTATACGGAACACAGCAGCCTTAAGCTGCTATTTTAGGCTGGTATTCTGTGAGAGCGTGGTCCTACCCCGGTCGAGCTGACTCATTCGTGCTACATACAACTATACAACTAATATAGCTGCAGCGTGGCTCTACCACGTATAATTATTCCACGAATTTTTTTTATATATTACATTTTTCATTTTACAGAACACGTTTCCGCCGGTGGTTGCACTCCTCAAGCTATACCATCCCGATGGCAAGGAAGCAAAGCTGTCCTTTAATCCCACCATGACGACTCCGCTACATTTGAAAGAGTTATACCAGCTGAATAATTATGTTCAGGTAAACTATTTAATAGAACAAAATCATCAACTTCCGACATTGATTAGTTAAGAATGTTTGAACGTGCACGTAAACGTAGGTTAGGTTAATAAAGTTAAATACATACATTTTTAAAAGGAAATCCAAAAATTAGAATAGGATAAAGTTTTTTTTATAGGAGTGGGGGCAAACGAGCATGCGGCTCACCTGATGGTAAGTATCATCCTAAGAATCATCCTGAAGTTCAATGCTGAACATTGTGCCCTCCCAAGATGTGTCGCATTCATTCACGTCCTGGATGTCTTATCAAGTCTTCACTCCATATAGTTTAGGGATATCTGCAGTAAAAGCAGAGTAATTAACATACCCCAACTAATTTGCAAACTGAAGAGAAGAAACAAGTCATGGATACGGTAGGTTTTATGTTTAGTGTTGCTTACCTTGAGTTTTCCATGTTTCGAACACTGTTTCTGATTGTATTTCGAATCGCTTTTGCATTACTATATATGTTTTACATTATTTAGTACAAAAATTGTTTAAAAGCAAGTTCTGGTAACACAAAATTTTGCTACAAGCCAAACAATATGTTTAAAGTGACTTTGGTCGAGTCTATTCACATAGTCTATTTTTTTTTAAATAATACGAACTGTGCATTTAACTTCTATTACCCCCCTTAATCTACAACTAAGCTTAAAGATGACAAATCATGATATCAATAAAATTGAACACAATTGTTTAACAAACATTTTATTATTTTGTATGATTTTCAACTTAAGTATCAAATGGGATTTTGATAGTTTGGGCAGACCGAATCTCAAATATCATTATTGACCATTACGGTCTGTAAAAGTGCTGCTGAACTTAGATTTCCCCCATAGATTGCCTCATAGGGAGGATATTTACTATAATAGCTACACTGCTGGATAAGCGGGTTGGCAAACACAGTTTTTTTATTCAGCTGTTATCAGAAAAATGCTGCTGCCCTTTTCTTGGTTCAGTTTCTTTATGTTGCCTCTTACGACACTCACGAGATGATAATGATGAAAATTCTTACATCGTTACTATGTGGTTAAATAAATAAAGAAAAATGAGCAAATATTGTACATAATATTTCCCATTTTCAACATTATTAAATAATGCCAGACGTTGCCGTACGTGACGAAAAGACGTCGCACCACAGCCGCTGTTTTTCAGTGTGGACCGTTTCGTTTCTTCGAGTAGTTCGAGCAGCGGTCTATTTTAATAAATACCAATGATATAATAACAGTAAATGGACACAAGAAATAAATGATAAATCGCAAATATTTTAAATAAGTTATTATTTCACTAGCATGGAATACTTTTCTGATTTTAAATTGTGAATTTGAATTTGTGCGTGCAGGAGGCTATCCAGCGCGAGGCTTCCCTGGAGGGCAGGCTGCGGACGCTGCGCGAGTGCGTGGAGCGGACGCGCGCGGACGCGCAGGCGTCGTGGGAGCTGTTCGTGGGCGAGCAGCGCCTGCTGACGCGCGTGCACACGCTCGAGGCCATGCTGGCGGCCGGCAAGCAGCCCGACCACCACCACGTCGTGCAGCTGCTCACCGACAAGAGGAACTACCAGGTTCGTTCAGTCACCATTCATTACAGCCCATCAAATTCCACTGTTGAACGTAGCCCTCATACGTGCTCTCATAAGTGGGATATTTGCCATAGTTGCCACACTTGACAGATGGGTTGGCAACTGCAGTTTTTTTTTAAATTTTGATTTGTTATCAGGAAGATGCTGCCCATCTCCTATTTTAGTTTGCCTCTGTCGCCTCCACGAGACGATATGGTGTAGTAGATATTCTTATACTGCCACTGGTTTATTTCCCTTTGTTGCCTCGATATGGGGTATACGATACACGTGTAGTGGCGGTGTAAGAACTACCAGGTGCTCTATCTTAATTATGTACTGTGCTCTTGTGATAAGAATGGAACGGGGTTTTGCCAATGATAATATATTACAGCGTTTGTTGTGGTTATTGTTACGGTTTGCTAATTATGGCAGGTAAAGGTCTAATCTGATTTGTATTTTTTTCATATAACTTTAAAATTTGCTGATCCGTCACATTGAGAAGTTCTAGAGAGATTTTGACGACAGTTTAACCCAGCGGACACTTGATGATGATAATGTCTCGAGGACCCTAAGCAGATGAAAATACCTGAGATTTATATCACTATCGAAGCACTCATTACATCGTTTACACTTATATTTTACATGCGTTGACATTTAATACAAAATATCGCACCACTTACTTATCAAAGTCCACTTTAAACCATTATTCTAACGTTAAAACTGGAGTAACACTTCCCGTTTTCTTTTCCCCGGCACATGCTTCTATAGTCGAGACAATGAATATAGACCTTACTGCGCCAATCCAAGTTATTCCACTCTTTCGACTGGAAAGTACTGGTAAACTCGCGATATTAACACGATAACAATATCCAAAGGAGAAAAGGCTTTATAATCGTAGACAAAGGAGAAAAGGCTTTAAAGGTTGAAGGCTTTAAAGAAGAAGCAACCTACGATTATAAAGCCTAAGCCTATTAATAGTCCGAGCGTTATCTAGACAAAGACACTGACCCTTATAGTCAGAAACATTCTCTTGCAATGTGAGGCAATACACAATTGGACGTTTTATATAATTATTGTATTTTTTCTATTTTCAATTAAGGAATAAATAGGCTTTATTATAATTATGTACTAAGTATTCTTAATATTGTTGCGCGCCACTATTAATGTCTTGTACATGGCAACACTAGTTACACTAGTCCCTCTTAGTGTCGAGTAGCGGAACTAGGACAGTCAAGATCCTTCCAGAAATTTCGGGACCGATAGGTACTCGAACATTCTAGATGTCGCTACAATAGAAGGTTCTGGAAACTATCTGAGGCCTTATATAAGGCCGGTATAGACCACGACCGAGGCAGTATTGAATTGGCGATACAAGAGAATACTTCGAAGCGAAATAACTGCGAACTAAAGTGATTTTGTTTTATTATTAGTGTGGTTTTAGATTGTAATTAGTGTTGTGTAATTAAAGTGTCAATTTTGGTAATTCTTTTTTTTTTATATTGAAGAAGGGGCAAACGAGCATGCGGCTCACCTGATGGTAAGTGACTACCGCCGCCCATTAACAACTGCAACACCAGGAGAATTGCAGATGCGTTGCCGGCCTTTTAGAAAGGTGTAAGCTCTTTTCTTGAAGGTTCCTAAGTCGTATCGGTCCGGAAAATTCGCTGGTGGTAATTGATTCCACAAAGAAGTTGTGCGAGGGAGAAAACTTCTTCTAAATCGCACAGTGGTGGACCGCCAATCATCCAGATGGTATGGATGGTAACGCGAGTTTTGTCGCGATGTGGGCTGGTGAAATTGAGCGGCTAGAATTAGTCCTAACAATTCCTCAGAGCACTCTCCGTGATAGATGCGATAAAAAACGCAAAGAGATGCCACATCTCTACGCAGTGCCAGTGTATCGAGCCGATCAGAAAGAACTCGGTCGTCGACGATTCGAACCGCTCTGCGCTGGATGTGGTCAAGTGGAAGGAGCTGGCACTGGGGTGCCCCGGCCCAGAGATGAGAACAGTATTCCATGTGGGGCCGAACTTGCGCTTTGTAAAGTTGCAAGCGATGTGTCGGCATGAAATACTGTCTCGCTCTGCTGAGCACGCCAAGCTTTTTAGAGGCCAATTTGGCCTTCCCTTCTAAGTGACCACGAAACTGCACACTATTCGATATGTCAACGCCAAGGATTCCGATACTAGCTGAGGCAGCAAGGGGAGTGCCTTGAAACTGAGGAGATACGACAGAGGGGTTCTTTTTAGCGGTAAACGCGCAAACTTGTGTCTTCTGGGGATTGAACTGGACTAGATTTAGTCGGCCCCAATCCGAGACTTTGTTAAGCAAAGACTCGACTTCAGACACCAGTTTGTCCCGGTACTCAGCGACGTTTTCCCGAGAAATATTGGCACGGCCGGTATATAAGGCATCACCAGTGCTGTCGTCCGCATAGCAATGAATGCTACCAGTTAGCAACATATCATTGATATGCAGGAGAAACAGCGTTGCTGATAGCACGCAGCCTTGTGGAACACCAGCGTTGATAGGCTTGAAATCAGAGCATGCACCGTCTACTACGACCTTGATACTCCGATCAGCAAGGAAACTGGTGATCCATTTGTACAATTTCTCGGGAAGCCCATAGCAAGGAAGCTTCGAAAGAAGCGCTTTTGGCAGACCCGATCGAAGGCCTTCGCTATGTCCAAACTAAAGGCCAAGGCCTCCCCCTTGGACTCTCCTGCCTCCGCCCATCTATGAGTCAAATAGACTAGAAGATCACCAGATGATCGACCTCGACGAAAACCGTACTGGCGGTCACTAATCAGCTGGTGATCCTCAAGGTACCTCATGAGCTGGCAGTTTATAAAAATATAATAATTTTTTAGGGATCGGGTGGACCAAAGCTGTCTTCCATGAATTCGGGACTACGCCTTGGGAGTAGGAGTACCGGAAAAGACGCGTTAAAACCGGTGCCAACTCCGGAGCACACGTCTTCAGCACAATGGGAGGGACTCCATCGGGCCCACTCGACTTGCTGACGTCCAGGGAGAAGAGTGCTTTGCGAACCGAGCGCTGTGTAAATCGCACATCCGGCATGGAGCACTCACATCGCGGGATGGTCGGCGGTGTATTCCCCCCGTCATCTAGAGTCGAATTCAATCGGCAGTTTTTAATTGTCTCGAACCCCAAGCAAATGACAATATTACTTGTATTTATCCTACTTCAATAGCTCGAAGTGGCTCCCATGAGTAGGATTGGGGAGTGCAGTTCGTAAAATAATGTTGTGGTGTGTGCGGTTGTGTGGGCAGGAGGTGGCGCAGGAGAGCCTGCGCGCGGCGCACGAGCAGCGGCTGGCGCTGGAGGAGACGCTGGAGCGCCGCAGCCGCGAGGCGGCCGCGCTGCACCACCACAACTACGCGCTGCGCCTCACCGCCAACAACGCGCTCGCCGAGCTCCAGGTATTGTGTGTGTGTGTGTGTGTGTGTGCGTGCGTGTGTGCGCGTGTGGGCAGGAGGTGGCGCAGGAGAGCCTGCGCGCGGCGCACGAGCAGCGGCTGGCGCTGGAGGAGACGCTGGAGCGCCGCAGCCGCGAGGCGGCCGCGCTGCACCACCACAACTACGCGCTGCGCCTCACCGCCAACAACGCGCTCGCCGAGCTCCAGGTATTGTGTGTGTGTGTGTGTGTGTGTGCGTGCGTGTGTGCGCGTGTGGGCAGGAGGTGGCGCAGGAGAGCCTGCGCGCGGCGCACGAGCAGCGGCTGGCGCTGGAGGAGACGCTGGAGCGCCGCAGCCGCGAGGCGGCCGCGCTGCACCACCACAACTACGCGCTGCGCCTCACCGCCAACAACGCGCTCGCCGAGCTCCAGGTATTGTGTGTGTGTGTGTGTGTGTGTGCGTGCGTGTGTGCGCGTGTGGGCAGGAGGTGGCGCAGGAGAGCCTGCGCGCGGCGCACGAGCAGCGGCTGGCGCTGGAGGAGACGCTGGAGCGCCGCAGCCGCGAGGCGGCCGCGCTGCACCACCACAACTACGCGCTGCGCCTCACCGCCAACAACGCGCTCGCCGAGCTCCAGGTATTGTGTGTGTGTGTGTGTGTGTGTGCGTGCGTGTGTGCGCGTGTGGGCAGGAGGTGGCGCAGGAGAGCCTGCGCGCGGCGCACGAGCAGCGGCTGGCGCTGGAGGAGACGCTGGAGCGCCGCAGCCGCGAGGCGGCCGCGCTGCACCACCACAACTACGCGCTGCGCCTCACCGCCAACAACGCGCTCGCCGAGCTCCAGGTATTGTGTGTGTGTGTGTGTGTGTGTGCGTGCGTGTGTGCGCGTGTGGGCAGGAGGTGGCGCAGGAGAGCCTGCGCGCGGCGCACGAGCAGCGGCTGGCGCTGGAGGAGACGCTGGAGCGCCGCAGCCGCGAGGCGGCCGCGCTGCACCACCACAACTACGCGCTGCGCCTCACCGCCAACAACGCGCTCGCCGAGCTCCAGGTATTGTGTGTGTGTGTGTGTGTGTGTGCGTGCGTGTGTGCGCGTGTGGGCAGGAGGTGGCGCAGGAGAGCCTGCGCGCGGCGCACGAGCAGCGGCTGGCGCTGGAGGAGACGCTGGAGCGCCGCAGCCGCGAGGCGGCCGCGCTGCACCACCACAACTACGCGCTGCGCCTCACCGCCAACAACGCGCTCGCCGAGCTCCAGGTATTGTGTGTGTGTGTGTGTGTGTGTGCGTGCGTGTGTGCGCGTGTGGGCAGGAGGTGGCGCAGGAGAGCCTGCGCGCGGCGCACGAGCAGCGGCTGGCGCTGGAGGAGACGCTGGAGCGCCGCAGCCGCGAGGCGGCCGCGCTGCACCACCACAACTACGCGCTGCGCCTCACCGCCAACAACGCGCTCGCCGAGCTCCAGGTATTGTGTGTGTGTGTGTGTGTGTGTGCGTGCGTGTGTGCGCGTGTGGGCAGGAGGTGGCGCAGGAGAGCCTGCGCGCGGCGCACGAGCAGCGGCTGGCGCTGGAGGAGACGCTGGAGCGCCGCAGCCGCGAGGCGGCCGCGCTGCACCACCACAACTACGCGCTGCGCCTCACCGCCAACAACGCGCTCGCCGAGCTCCAGGTACTACACACAGATATTAAAATTCATTACAAAATTCGTTCGTTCGTTCTTTTTCTTTAATTTTTGAAGTGAAAACTTCTTTAGAATTGTTGTGATTTGAAACTCGTTGAAACGAAAAAGCGACACTAAAATAAGACAAACATTAACATCTATAAGATTGATCCTGTGGGAGAATGAGCCATTAAGCGTCTATTTTACATTAAATTTAAATTTAAAATAATAGAGCACTAAAGAACTATGGCAGACTTTCATACATAAAATTAGTTGAAAAGGAATGGTAGCGTCTATATATCAAAAATATCTTAAAATAATAAGCGCCAGTCCCTGAATAACTTTGTCAAAGAATTTTGTCCTGAGAAGGCTACCGCCTTCTCAAAAAAAAAATGTATTTAGATTAGAACCTTTTTAGGTTATTGTCTTATGTCACTTGGCCAAAGTCATACGTTCTGTGGTTGTTTGATGTTAGCTTAATACATTCTCAACATAATGTACCTTCCTACATAATTGAAAGTTTTTAGATTATTGTATCTCCATTATATATTTGCATGCTATCTTTATATATAAAAATTACATGTCACATTGTTTGTCCGCGATGAACTCCTAAACTACTGAACTGATTTCAATGAAATTTCGCACATTGTGTGCAGTTTGGTCCAACTTGAGAGATAGGATACTTTTTATCCCGATAAGTGACCCAATATTTTTTATTGTGAATTTAAGGATTTTTTTTTTAGGAAGGGTCGTCGGAAAGGGCAGAACAACATCTGCCTGGCCAGCTAGTAAATGTATATTTCTGGCATGGCTCTAGGGCCTTTGTGTCATACAGTGACATTCTCAGAAGGGCTAGAACCCAGAACCGTAAAGCCAGTAAAAACAGTGACATTTTGTTTTAGCAAGTGTTGCCATAACATTAAATGGAATTGTTACATAGTACTATGGTTGAGATAATGTATTATTATAGGAAGTTTTTTTGTAAGAGACTTATTTTCAACCATATCACTTTTATTTTTATTATTACTGATAGTATAGTATTTTACGTTACGTTATTACTAATAATAACTTAATATAAAAATATTTTGTGTTTGTGTGTTGTGTTGGTAGTCTTACAAAGTGTATACGAAAATAGTAAAAATATAGTAAATGGCAACACAATAGAGTAAAATGATTTAAGTCATTTGATATTCCCAAAAATTTTTGTTTTCTTTTCTGTGGCTTTAATTAAAATTGAAAAATCATAGAAAAATAATTAAAACTCATTTTATATATAAGTTATTTCTAGACGCAATAATTTTTGTCAACTATGTTCTTGTTTTTAGGGTTCCGTATCTCAAAAGGAAAAAACGGAACTTATAGGATCACTTTGTTGTCCGTCTGTCTGTCTGTCTGTCAAGACTCTTTATCTCAGGAACGCGTGGAGGTATCAAGCTGAAATTCATATCAAATACTGATACCCCATTTACACTCTCGCGCGAGTGACGAGGCGAGTCGCGAGGCGAGCCACGAGGCGCGAGTGTAAACGCTAGCTCGTGGTTCGCCTCGCAGCTCGCATCGCCACTCGCGGCGCTCGCGTCGGAGGCGGTTTTTTGGGCACGAGGCAAAGGGCCTCGCGAGGGACGCGAGCGTGGTGTTTACACTCGCGTCTCGTTTCAGTTTGTTTACGGCGCCCTTACATAATAACATTCGAAGTGCTTTTGGTTTAAAATACAATTTTAATAAAATAATATTATTTAATCTTGCTATATATAAAATAATAAAAATATTAAAATATTAAAAAATATAAAAATATTATTTAATCTTAATAGGTACTCGCAATTTATATAAAATTATGAAACTGAAAAGGTTCTGTTTCAATGAATAGATATCATCCGTCATATTCTTCCTCAACGACGTATTTTTATTAATTTCCATCTTTTTAAAATGGTCAAACATCGATAAATACTTATTAAGGCAAGAGTTGATGCCGCTATTATTTCGACGTCATTCATCGTTGCTGGCTCAACGCAAACTGACCACATCGCGAGAGTGTAAACAGGCACTCGTTACCCCACAACAACACGCGAGCTGCGAGGCGAGGTACGAGGCGAGCCGCGAGGCGAGAGTCTAAACGAGGTATCATGTCTACTGTTCCTTGGAGCTGTGAAAAAATCAAACTTCTAAGCCAACGCAATCAAAAGATACAGTCGTTTATGCCGCAAATTTTCGACATTCGCAAGGGAATCAAAACCTACAGGGTACTTCCCGTGAACTCAGAATCTTAAAATTTGGTACGAAGCAACGTATTATAGCAAAGATAAAAGAAAAATTGGGAAAAACATACATTTTTAGTTACATCATATAAAAAAAATATTTTTATAAATTTTAAACTTATATACCTACGGATTTGTTCGGAACCCTCGGTGCGCGAGTCCGACTCGCACTTGGTCGGTTTTTTAAACATGTAAATAATATGTTTTAAAGTCAGGAATATAATTTATTTTTTCATCAAAATTAAATGAAACGCTCATAAGGCGTGCACTTATAGATTTTCTAAACTTTTTTATTATAACATTATAATACTAACAATCCTTTTAACGTCTTCAATTCTCGTTAACCAATCTGTGATGATGAAAGTGAAAGAACCCGATTTCACTCATCTATATGTGTTGGTGTAGTGTAGTATGTCCCCGTGTAGTGGCGGGGTAGAATACCCACTACCCCAGTCCCCCAGTCTCCGGCGGCCCCGCTATTCCTGGCTAAGGTGGTGACTATGGTAACGGTGGGACAGGGGCTGCTAAGAATCTCCGGTGGAGGTTCGGTTGCCACCTAAGACGACTCGACTTGGCAACATATAACGCACGCACCCTGAGGACTGACGAGAAGATCGTGGAGCTGGAAGAAGAGATAGACAAGTTGCGCTGGAATATTATAGGATTATCCGAGGTCCGAAGAGAGGGAGAGGACATGGTAATGCCCTAATCCGGCAACTTGTTATATATCCGAGAGGGCGACCATCTGTCCTAAGGAGGTGTTGGATTTATCGTCCACAAGTCTTTCGTTAACAACGTTGTAAAGATTGAGAGTGTGTCGCTGAGGGTTGCGTACCTTATACTCAGAATTACCAAACGGCATTCGCTAAAGGTCATACAGGTTTACTTAACAACCTCGGTACATCCCAATGAGGAGGTGGAGGAAATGAATGAGGATATATTTAAAGCCATGCATACCTCCAAATCCCACTATACGGTGTTAATGGGAGACTTCAGCGCAAAACTAGGCACAAGAGAGAACGGTGAGCTGAAGGTAGGGAAATTTGGAATAGAGCAACGGAACCCAAGGGGCCAACAGCTGGCCGACTTCATGAAGAAAGAGGGACTTTTTATGATGAACTCTTTCTTCTAGAAGCGGTCCCACAAGAAGTGGACCTGTTCGAGCCCCGTCGGTTCGACGAAAAATGAGATTGACTTCATTATGGCGACCAGGCGACAACTGTTCAGTGATGTTTCGGTAATCGCGAGGGTGAAAACTGGCTGCGATCATCGAATGGTGAGAGGCACACTGAACCTAAACGTTAACTTGGAGAGGTCTCGTCTAATGAAGTCAACACTCTGTCTCCCTCGTGCTCTAATACAAAGTCCCGAAACCTTTCAGCTCGAGCTATAAAACGGTTTTCAGTGCCTAGAAAATTGCAATGCAGTGGACGATATGAATAACAAGCTCGTGGAAACTGTGGATGCGGTTGGAGCTAAGTTCTGCAAGATCCGTCGCAGAAGACCACGAAAACTCTCAGATCACACTCTTAATCTCATGGCTGTTCTCACGGGAAATGAAGCTGCAGATTTGACAGCGTACAGGCAACTGAACAGACAGTTCTTCAAATACATGCGGCGGGACTTACGCAACTTCAGTATTGCTCGTATGGAAGAAGCGATCGAGCGAAACCAGGTACAAACTTTCAAAGTCTTTGCCAGAGATCTGTCTGCCAGAAAGAGCCAACTGTCAATGCTGAAGACCGAGTGTGGCAGCATCGATTCCGGGACACCTGAGATTGAGTGAGATTGAGAGGTTCTACGGGCGGCTATACACGTCATCGTTGGAGCCACACGCGAGTGTGAGTTACGATCCAAGAGTGAGTCTTATCCGACACTATTTCGAAGATATCCCGGACGTCAATCTGAGCGAGATTATAATGGCTCTCCAGCACCTTAAAAACGGCAAGGCCCCAGGTGAGGATGGAATTACAGCGGCGCCTCTGAAAGCGGGTGGAAAACCGGTACTTAAAGTCCTTCAGAAGCTCTTGAATTCCGTCCTACATGGTGGCATTACACCGGAGGCGTGGAGCAGAAGTGCGGTGGTCTTGTTCTTCAAGAAAGGCGACAACGCTCTCTTAAAGAACTGCAGACCGATTTCCCTTCTGAGCCGCGTCTACGTGCTGTTCTCGAGAGTCATTACGAATCATCTTACATGTAGATTCTACGACTTCCAGCCTCCCGAACAAGCCGGTTTCCGAAAAGGCTTTAGCAATATAGACCACATGCATACCCTTCGGCAAATTGTACAGAAGTCCGAGGAGTACAATTATCCACTATTTCTGGCGTATGTGGATTATGAGAAAGCCTTTGATTCCGTCGAAATTTGGGCGGTGCTGCTGTCCCTTAGCGGTGCCAAGTTGACTGTCGGTATATCGAAGTACTGAAGTGTTTGTACATTAGGCCTACGGTAGCTATCCGAGTACAGAACCAGAGTACGAAACCTATCCAACTGCAGAGAGGTGTAAGATAGGGTGACGTTATATCCCCGAAACTCTTCACCGCTGTATTGGAAGACGTTTTCAAGCTACTGGACTGGAAAGGATACGGTATTAACATCAACGGCGGGTACTTACCTTCGATTTGCCGACGATATAGTCCTCATGGCAGAATCGCTGGAGGACCTAAGCAATATGCTCAATGACCTCAATAGTGCCTCCCAACGGATAGGTCTTAAAATGAACATGGACAAAACAAAGATCATGTATAACGTCCATATCACACTTATGCCGGTAGTTCTTGGGAGCACTTAGCTCGAAGTTGTTGACGAGTATGTTTACCGGGGATGAATAGTCCGTCTAGGTAAGTCAAATTCGACCGAGAGGTCAATCGACGCATTCAACTCGGCTGGGCAGTGTTCGGGAAACTACGACACATCTTCTCGTCACGTATACCTCAAAACTTAAAAACGAGACTGTACAACCAGTACGTGTTGGCAGTGATGACCTATGGAACTGAGACGTGGTCCTTCACTGCTGGCCAGATGAGAAAGCTCAAGGTCGCTCAGCGAGCTATGGAGAGCGCTATGTTCGGGGCTTCTCTGCGTGATAATTTAGAAATGAGGAATGTCGCAGTAGAACCAGAGTGACCGACATAGCCGAACGGATTAGTTAGCTGAAGTGGCAATGGGCCGGCCATATAACTCGAAGAACCGACAACCGATGGGGAAAAGAGGTTCTCGAGTGGCGAGCTCGTACCGGCTGGCGAAGTGTAGGGCTTCCCCTGCATGCAGGAAGTCGATGGATGCAGGTGACTCAGGACCGTGCTTTGTGGCATTTCTTGGGGGAGGCCTATGTTCAGCAGTGGACTAGAGAGAGGCTGTAATAATGATGATGATGATGATTAAGATTTACATTTATAATAAAGACTGATATGTATGCTTTATTCTTAAGATGATGATGATGATAAATGATGAGTTGGTGTGTATGCACTTTCATGAATATATCACATTGTATCGTTAGTGAATGAATGATGATAATGACTCCAAACTTATTTTATTCGACACTCAATTCAAATTCTACTACACTAAAGCTGAATAGATAGTATAGAGAATTTGTCACGAGGCCTTTATCGATTAATGCCATATCGATCAAATTTTATAATTTAAAAAATCCAATGTTAAAAATCCAAAAAAAAAAATGGTTTACCATGCTGCATATTTTTTTGTTACAGAAACTGGCAGCGCGTTGCGAGCGAAAAATGTGTGCGGCTAGACTCGCCATAGCGGCCGCGGAGGAACGTGAGCAAGCTGTGCGCAAACATTTGCCGCTCGCTGTAAGTAACAAAGCTTGATGTGGATAGTAGAATATTGTTACGAGCTTGGGGTTCGAGATAATGAAAAACCTGCCAAGTGAATTACCAAAATTGGTACTTTAATTACAGAACACTAATTACAACTTAAAACCACACTAATAACAAAACATATTCGTGGTAAACCCATGATGCAGCTATATTAGTAATATAGTTGTAGCATAAATGGATCGGCTCGACCGGGGAAGGAACACGCTCTCACAGAATACCAGCGTAAAATGGCAGCTTGACACTACTGTGTTTTTCATTCTATTGAGGGGGGAGAGGGGGAGAGAGAGAGAGAAAGGCAGAGAGTAGGCATGGGCAAAGGGAAAAAATATATCGATATATATCGAATCTACATTTTTAAACAGTATCGATATATATCGCGTGATAAATATCGATATATCGTCATCATTTGCATGGTGGAAAGATAGGGTCCAAAATTTTATTTACTGGCGGTTGGGCGACGAAAAAAACGATACAATATTTTAAAATATATCGAAATTGATACGAATTCGATACTCTAAAATAAATATCGATATGTCGATATATCGCGACTAAAAATATCGACGATATATACCGATATTTTTATTACAAAATATCGATATTTCTATATATCTTTATTTTTAGCCCAAGCCTAGCAGAGAGAGGCTTTACATTCTTTCCGAGGCACTGAGGTGAGACACCGCCTACTTTCTGACTCCGGGCTGCTACTGAGAATTACGTGTCAGAAAAACACAAAAACTGATTTTGGACGAGCTTACGACCATTAGACCAGCGGGGCAGTCGAGCCTTCTATAAATAAAAACAATGAGCGGCATTGCACTCTCGCTTTTGCTTTATTTCTAAATCATCTAAATTAATCCGCGTAATGTGTTCAAATTTACATGGTGAGCACTGTCATTTCACCTTGCGATTGACTAGACTGAACTCCTGTGTATCCTCCGGGGGTATACCACCTGCACACTAAGTTGTACACTTTTGTTCTTAGATTTCTTTTATTGAAGTAAGGGTCACAAACAAGCACACAGTCCTTCTAATAGTTAGAGAACCCTGTGACTAAAACTAATTACGTTTGCATGCGTAAGAATCAAAGTTCAGATGTGTTATCATCTCTGAGAATAAGTTGGGATGCCTCATCAAACTGAACAAAGTCTCGGATTGGGGCGACTAAATCTAGTCCAGTTTAATCCTCAGAAGACACAAGTTTGCGCGTTTACCGCTAAAAAGAACCCCTTTGTCGTATCTCCTCAGTTTCAAGGCACTCCCCTTCTTGCCTCAGCCTGTATCGGAATCCTTGGAGTCGACATATCGAGTGACGTGCAGTTTCGTGGTCACTTGGAAGAGAAGGCCAAATTGGCCTCTAAAAAGCTTGGCGTGCTCAGCAGAGCGGGACAGTATTTCATGCCGGCACACCGCCTGCAACTTTACAAGGCGCAGGTTCGGCCTCACATGGCATACTGTTACCATCTTTGGGCAAGGGGCTCCTCAGTGCCAGCTCCTTCCACTTGACCGCATCCAGCGCAGAGCGGCTCGAATCGTCGACGACCGAGTCCTTTCCGATCGGCTCGATTCATAGGCACTGCGAAGAGATGTTGCATCCCTTTGCATTTTCTTTCGCATCTACCACGGGGAGTGCTCTGAGGAATTGTTCGGATTAATCCCAGCCGCCAAATTTCACGAACACACATCGCGGCAGAACTCCCGATACCATCCACACCATCTGCATGATTGGCGGTCCACCACTGTGCGATTTAGAAGATGTTTTCTTCCTCGCACGACTTCCTTGTGGAATCGATTACCATCAGCGATTTTTCCGGACCGATACGACTTAGGGACCTTCAAGAAAAGAGCCTACTCCTTTTTAAAAGGCTGGCAACGCATCTGCAATTCCCTCCCTGGTGTTGCAGTTGTTCATGGGCGGCGGTAGTCACTTACCATCAGGTGAGCCGCATGATCGTTTGGCCCCTCTCCTATAAAAAAAAATCATCAATAAAAACATACTTAGTAGAAGAAATTGCATTTCATATTGAGTGCCATATTCACAATTTTGTTATGAATTATGTGACCATTTTTTTAAATAAGTGATGCTTTAATCCATAGACACCACTTTCGATGAAAATCAAAATGCAGATGTGTTGTTACCCTGAGGAGTGCCCCATTACTAGTAAAAATGGTCTCTAGTTTTCATTACTCATTATACGGAACATTAAAATATTATGGTGTTATTTATGCTTGGTATTCTGTGCGGGTATGATTCTTCCCAGGCGAGCTGACCAATTCGTACTGCTGCCATAATATTGTGGCGGGTGAGCTTAGTACGTATAATAGTATTTCTGTGCTATATAATGCTTTTGACATCATAAGCGGGACGGCGGAGATCTATATTCTATGTTATACCTAGTGAAGTTGCAACCTGTTATTACGATGCTGCTCTACGGTGTGTGGTATTCGTGTAGTTGTGGTGTAAGAATATCCACTACCTCCATATCTTCTGGTGGGTATCGTAAGAGGTGATAGAGTGCAACAAATCAGAAAGTGGATGTAAGTGTCTTAATAACAACTTAGAATAAAAAACTGTGGTTGCCAACTCGCCTGCTAAGCGTGGCAACTATGGCAAATATACTTATGAGGCAATCGATGGGGGAAGCTTATGTTCAACAGTGGAGTTTTGACTAGAACGGTAACGGTAAGAGTAAGTATGGTGTGGATGTTGGGCGGCAGTGCTCGGTGCAGAACGGCGAGGCGCGGCTGCTGGTGCTGAGCACGGACAGCAACCGCCTGCAGGAGGCCAAGCGCGGCGCCTCGCTCGAGGACGCCGTGCGCGCGCTGCCCGACTACATCAAGCTGCTGCTGCCGCAGCACCTGCTCAACAAGGTACGCATTGCACACATACCACGCACCATAATCAAAATGAAGTGAAACATGGTAGGTATCAAGTTGTTGGATATCTTAAATGTTCACATATTTCATCGGCGGAACTTAATAACCCATTTGACAACTTCACTTTCTGTCATTTCTATACTGCCAGCAAAACTGTACGTAGAAGTGTAATAAATTTAAAGTTAAATATTCAATACTCGATTCAGATTCCAAATATATAAAAATTTACCTAAACATGTCCCCTATTTGTAAATTAAAATAATAACATATGAGCATTTATAAACTACACGCGCCGAATAAAAAAGCAAACGAAATATTAATAATTATAAAGATAAAAATGTACAAAGTAACCCAGGCCCCGGCGGTTCTGCTATTCCTGGATACGGTGACCATGATAAACGATGGGGCAGGGGGTGCTAAGAATCTTCGTTGGAGGTTTGGTTGCCACTTTAGACGACTCGAGCTGGTAACATTTAACACACGCACCCTGAGGACTGACGATAAGTTGCACTGGGATGTTATAAAATTATCTGAGGTTCAAAGAGAGAGGAAGAACACGGTAATCCTTAATTCCGTCAACTTCTTCTATTAAAAATAATGTCCTCCAGACCTAATTTCGGTCACGGCGGCCAGTCTCAACGGAGATTAGCTATCTACACCGGTCAGGGTTATAATGCCCAAGTGTATGCGAAAGCACAGGTGCACTCTCTATACCCTCACTCTCATAGTCCGATGGCACGGTAATTCAACACGACTGGAGAGAAATCAGGCGCAGGACCAACGGCTTTACGTGTTTTCCGAGGCATGGGGGTGAAACACCGTCAACTTCCTGACAACTCAATAACTGATTTTCAGCCCGACCCGGTAGTCGAACTCGTGACCTGATAATCAACAAAAGCGTTTACGACCATTACACCAACGAGGCAGTCAAATTTATTTTTGTTTCTTTTTAGTTCTATTATCGGGAAGGCGACCATGTGTCTCAAGGACATGTTGGGTTAATCGTCTACAGGTGTATCATTAACAACGTTGTGAGGATTGTGTTTCGACACCGGAAATGACATTTTAACTGTACCATTCTTGTCACGCACGCATAGTTCAGGCAGTCACCATCATTATCTTCTTAATGACTTCATCTATTTACACTAAGACTACATTTACTTATATAAATGACGGCTATTCTGTCGACTGTGAAGTAATAGAGGCATATACAAGAATTCTTGGTATTTTCATATTTTTTGGTTACATAAGTCTACCAAATTTAAATTTTTAAGAATTGTATCGCGATACATACAGATACTTATTTTATAATATATTCTCCGACTTTTCTAGAGTTTTCCAGCAACCGTGGTAATGGGAGACTGAGGTGTTCAACAGCCTTAAATTAAAAATTTTTGATTCACACAAAATAAACAAACAGTACCTTGGAGATGGAGCAGATGGTAGCACACAGCCATCTTCTCTAGTGAAATTAGGATGTTTTTAATTTCAATAGTCTCATGAATGATTCTTGTTTGGAATCGTGCGTTATCTATTAGATCGTAGCCATTGAGTTATATGTGCTACGGACTAGAGAAGCCATTCCAAACAAAAAATGTGCACTACTCTAATGTCTTCGCGCATGCGCAGTTGATTTAAGCGCGTTGCGCCTGCGCAGTCAGTTTTTCATTTAAAGTTTAATTTGAAAACTTGTATTATTAGCGCCGCTCCACACTGCATGAATATTGAAACCACAGACTAACTATTGGATTGAAACTAGACTAAATGACACACTGTACGGATTGCAGTACAGTTCAGTTGAACATAGTATATGTTCGGATTGCAAAATCTAGTACATAGTACATATATATCTATGATCTTAGCACTTTTCTGTCTGCGTGACATAAAGACCGTCGGTTTAGTAGGTGGTACGCTGGACTCTTTTCAGCCTGGGAATCCGTCTGAGCAGGTATCACCTTCTTACCCATTCCTGCCGCAGTGGTAAGACTGCTTTGTTTCGCTCTCAAGTCTTTTTTTTAGGTGTTCACGTGTATTTAAGTACCGATATACGTATTGCATTATTTTAAGATTTTCTTCTTTAATTTGTCATTTTCACTTTTTTAAGGTGGGCATAAAAGCAATATCGGCGGAAGGCAAATCGGCGAAGGAGTTCGAATTAATATTGAAAAAGAATAATATTTACAATTCAGAGAGTAAAGGTAAGCTCACTTTAATAATACTATATACTTTGTGGTTGACTGATTGAGACAAGTTTACCACTGAAATACTTAATACCTAAAACATCAAAACTTTAATCAGATTTTATTCGCTCTCTTTATCTCCTTCTTACGATTACGTTCTTACGATTATTGTATGTTTGACAGCTAAATAATAAAAACTGGTCTAGAAGTCGCTTCATTGGATGTTAATTAAAATATTTATATTATGCCCATTTTTAACTATGTTTTTTACTAAATCAGGTAAAAAAGGCAGTATTTCCTTTAAAAAAATTTACGTCCACTGTACGATTGTACGATTGCCTGTATGTGAAAGCGTATTACGCACATCTGCAAAGGCACAGACGACAATTATTTGTAAGCTATGCAAATACTTAGAAAAAAACGAAATAAATATAATAAATATCCTTAATCTTAAAATTTAAAATGTATATTTGTATTACGTAGAAAAACAAGTGACTGAAGAAGATGGGGTTGAAGGCAGCAGTGAAGAAAAATCTGAAGACCCTGATTCCTGTACCGACGATGAGAAGCAGTCTAGACTTAATCATGGTTTGTACTTTGTTATATACTTGAAAGATTTAATCTTAATTGATTTTGTGTGAAATTTTAATATTTAACTTGAGGTGTGTTTTACTATATTTATAATATTTATTATAAACTACCAGTGGACTTGTAAATATGATGAATGATGATAAGGTTTACTCAAAAATTCATTGCAACATCATAAAGTAGATATGGTCTGGTTTATCAATATACTTTACAATATCCACAGGATAAGAAATGGGGTTGTGTTATATATTCGTGAATATTTAATGGTTATAGATCGATATATTTTTACGTAAATAAATAAAAATAATAATAATAAGGTATACATTTATTTATGTTCTCGTTTAGAGAAACTTAATTTTTGTTTAAAAATTCTGTAGTCTTTAAGTACAAATGTTTTAGTTATAGAATAAGGGTGACAAACCAACGAGTCCACATAATGGCATGTGAATGATGCCGAAAACAGCACACAGGCATTTACATCTATCCTCAATTAAGATTCAAAAAGCAGAAATGTTGTTACCCCATATAACTAAGATGGAATACCTCGATTCTACTAAAAAGGGTCTCTGTTTCTGTATACTACATACATACATATAATCACGCCTCTTTCCCGTAGGGGTAGGCAGAGACCAGTTCTTTCCACTTGCTACGATCCTTACATACTTGTTTTGCTTCGTCCACTTTCATTATTCCCTTCATACATGCTCTACGGTTTAGGGTACTCTTGACCTGGCCTTTTTTCAAGACGTCCCTGATTTGGTCTAGAAATGTCCGCCTAGGTCTACCCCTTCCAACACTTTCATTCACACTCGCCTTATACACTTTTTTCGTCAATCGTTCTTCATTCATTCTCTCGACATGGCCAAACCATCTCAGCATACCTTTCTCAATTTTTGTCACTACATCTTCTTTCAGACCACAACGTTTCCTTATCTCACTATTTCTTATCCTGTCACTCAGTTTAACTCCTATCATACTTCTTAATGCTCTCATCTCAACTGCATTTATTCTGCTTTCATGTTTCTTCTGCCATACCCAAGTTTCACTTCCGTACATGAGTGTCGGAACCAACACCCCCTCATGCACAGCCAAACGAGCCTTGTTAGATACCTTCCGACTGCTCATAAAGGAGTGTAAAGCTCCATTCACCATGTTTCCTGCATTCACTCTTCTTTCGATATCACTCTCACACTTTCCATCTCTTGTAAACTTTGAACCCAGATACACAAACTCTTTCACCTGTTCAATTTGTTCATCTTCAATCACAATATTGCAGTCTGTCACTGCCTCATCTTTTTCAAACACCATCACTTTCGTCTTCCTTACATTCATCTTCATTCCCTTTCTAACAAAAGCTCCACTCATAGCAGTTACCATCTCCTGCAACTCCTCGGCCGAAGACGCAAGTAATACTTGGTCATCAGCATAGAGAAAACATTTGACGAGTAACTCATTCATTCTCAACCCACTTTCATTCTCTTTTAAATCTGTCAAACAATTGTCCATGAACAGATTAAACTGCCACGGTGACGCTACACATCCCTGTCTAACACCTTTTTCGATATTAAACCATTCAGTGTATGCCCCGTTTATCCTTACACAAGCACTAGAATCCCTATAAAGAGATTGCATTGCTCGTATGAGGATACTGCTCACACCGTTCACGGACAGTGCTGACCACAATTCATTCCTCACCACTCTATCATAGGCCTTTTCTAGATCTACGAACGCGCAGTAGACTTTCTTGTTTTTAGCCAAATACTTTTCGGCTATGCACCGCAAGGAAAAGACCTGATCCGTACATCCCATTCCCTTTCTAAATCCCGCTTGTGCATCCCATATTTTCTCGTCTGTTTCATTCACAACCCTTTCAATCAACACTTTCGCATACAATTTACCGACGACATCTGTATACTCAACATACGAAATATAGCAGCATTAAGCTGCTATTTTACGCTAATATTCTGTGAGAGCGTGGTCCTTCCCCGTACAACCATATTATAGCTGCAACGTGGCTCTACCACATTAAAACATTTTAATTTACTAATTTGTAGTTATTTATCTCTCTTGCGCCTTAAAACAGATATTTAGTTACTATTAAGTTTAAAGTTATCTATATGTACTTTAAAAGTTACACTTTGAATTCGGATCAGATTTGATATTGATTGAATTGATGATATAACTGCTATAAAAAAGAAATTTTTTTAAGTGCATAATTGTTGGCAATTTAATTTTAATTTTAATATAATTACTGTTTGATAACATATTATTATTTATATTGTAGGTATTATATCCAGACTTATATAATATTTATTTTTTATACATTATACAAGTATATATTTGATTTTTGTTGTTGATTTTGTTATAGCTTAGTTTCTGTTATAGTTTTGATTAGCATGTGTGATATTTGAGAATTTGATTATAGTTACTTTTCTTGCTCTTCTTCTAGCTCTTCCGATAAGACATATAAAAGCGCCTTAAGCGATGATTCCACTCATTTACATGATCAACTAGTAGCCGTATTCTGTAATTATAGTAAAAATCTTAATATAGTCCATATTAACGCTCAAAGCATTCATGCTCATTACGCTGATCTTTTATCAACCTTTGATTCTAAATATGTTGATGCCATACTTGTTTCTGAAACTTTTCTAAACCCTGCACTTCCGTCGGTACAGTATTGTCTCCCTGGTTTTCAACTTATACGTAATGACAGGGTCGGCAAAGGTTATGGTGGAGTGGCAGTCTATTTGAGAGCTGACATTCCTTATAAAATAGTTGATCATTCACCCAATATGTACACAAATTTTGCTGAACATTTATTTATTGAAATTACTATTAATCATTCTAGGAGTTTGCTTGGAGTCTATTATCCCACTTCTCGCAATATAAATTATTTTTCTTCTCTGGAAGAAAAACTTGTAAATCTAACTCCGCTTTATGATAATACCATTATTTTAGGTGACTTTAACACATGCCTGTTGAAGAATAATTTTCGTAGCAAAAAATTGCTCTCCCTGGTGTCATCTTTTAATTTACATATTCTTCCTCTTTCTGCTACTCACCATTCGCCTAATAGTACCCCTTCTCTTTTAGACCTTATTATTGTTTCTGATGCTGACCGGGTTGCTTCGCATGGTCAACTATCTGCGTCTTTCTCTTACCACGATCTTATCTTCCTCTCCTATAAAATTCAACGTCCTAGGCGCAAATCGAAATTCTTACTCCTAAGAAGCTTTAAATCAATTAACCTGGAGCGTTTGCGAGATGATGTAAATAATATTGACTGGTCCCCTGTTCTAAATTCCGAAGATATTAATGATAAAGTTTATGCTTTTAATCACCTCATTTGAAAACTTTTCGATACTCATGCACCACTTAAGCGAATCAGGGTTAAACACTTTCCAGCCCTCTGGCTTTCAGAGTCTATAAAAGCAGTAATGTCCAAAAGAGATAAAGCTAAGAGGCGTTATAAGAAGCACCCTACTAATGAAAATTTGTTCACATATAAAAAATTACGTAATCGTTGTAGTAAGATGTGTCGTGATGCTAAGAGGAAACATATTTATGATGAGGTTGAAAATTCTCATTCCGCTCAGATGTGGAAATTTTTTAGAACTCTGGGTATAGGCAAATCACATAATGATTCTAATATCTCGTTTGATTTGACTGCACTCAACCGGCACTTTTCTGAGCCTCCGATTTCTATTGATGACTCTTATTAAGTCTACTACACTTAATATTCTCTCCAATTTTCCTAAGCCACTGTGTTCTCCTTTTAATTTTAGTAAAGTTACTGATGGTGACATAAAAAATGCCTTTTATCTATTTCCACTAAAGCTATCGGTTATGACAATCTTTGTATACAAATGATTAAACCTATCACTAATGAACTTGTCCCTATTATCACTCACATTATCTCTTCTTCCCTTGAGACGAGCTCCTTTCCGACTTGCTGGAAAAAGGCATTCGTCATTCCCCTTCCAAAAACTTCTAATCCTACATCTTTATCCCAATTCCGACCTATTTCTATTCTTCCAATCTTATCTAAAGTACTAGAAAATATAGTTCAGAGGCAACTGTCTCATTTCCTAACTGTTCACAACTTGCTGAGTCCTTTCCAATCTGGTTTTCGTCCAGGCCATAGCACAGTCAGTGCTCTGATTAAAGTGTCTGATGATATTCGCTGGGCCATGGACAAAAGACTACTCACTGTCCTAACATTATTGGATTTCAGCAGTGCATTTAATTCCGTTGATTATGACATACTTCTTGGTATTCTTTCGTCCTTAAACATTTCACCATCAGTAATCTCTTGGTTTAATTCTTACCTTAGGGGTCGCTCGCAGTGTGTCCGCCATGAGGAGGATTTCTCCGAGTGGTGCGATCTCACGGCGGGTGTTCCTCAGGGTGGTGTTCTTTCCCCACTTCTCTTCTCTATTTTTATCAATGCTCTCACTACTGTTCTCTCCTCTCATTATCATCTCTATGCTGACGATTTGCAATTATACCGTCATTTCAAAGTCCAAGATATAGATGAGGCTATTAATAAGCTGAATGTTGATTTAAGTAGCATAAGCAGTTGGGCAAAATCATTTGGTCTTCTTGTTAACCCTGCTAAATCCCAAGTAATGATTATCGGCAGCTCATATATGCTTAATTTATTAGATCGTTCGAAGATCCCTGCAGTAACGTATGAAAATACTCAAATTCCATATACAGAGACTGCTAAGAACTTAGGTGTTATTTTTGATAATAATTTGTCATGGGTTGCTCATATTAATATGATTAGCAGAAAAGTGAACTACTCTTTCCAATCTCTCAAGCGCCTCCAGATGTTTTTACCGTTAAAAACTAAGATAACCTTAGCTCAAGCACTTCTTCTTCCTCTCATTGACTACGCTGATGTTAGTTTTTTGAATGCTTCAGAGGAGCTGTTGAACAAACTGGAACACATTCAAAATTTGTGTATACGTTTTATTTTCGGTCTTCGTAAGTTTGATCATGTATCAGAGTACAGGGCTCAATTAAAATGGCTTCCTATCCGTAGATGTCGAGACTTACATGTGTTATCATTTCTTTACTTTCTTCTCTTTAATCCTCTTGCACCTCCATATCTTCGCGAGCGTTTTGAGTATCTTGTACCTCGTGAAACTCAGTGCCGGACCACTAAACAGCTTCTTCTCAAAACTCATTCTCATTTCACAAGCCGATGTGGTGCATCCTTTACTATAAGGGCGGTCAAGCTATGGAACTCACTTCCACATGACATACGTGCTAGCTCTTCTCTTGATATATTTCGGAGCAGAGTAAAGAAATATTATCTGTGATCTTAGAATTACAAATATTTACACATTTTATGTATTTATATATATAATTGTATATGTATATTATATATATATATATATATATATATATATATATATATATATATATATATGTATGTGTGTGTATGAGTATATATTTATTGTATTTATTAATATATATGTATGTAAATCAATAGAAATAAGAAAATAAATTATACTTATATTTTATACACTTATATGTTAATTATTAACTGTTACTTATACCAATTTCTATTAACTAGTGTTATGTTAATTATTAAATACGCACGTTGCTACCTACTTGCTTTATATAAAACTATTTCTCTTTCCCAATAGGTTTGCTGGAAGAGAACTCTTATTAGGGTTAAGCTCGCCTTTGTATACATTTTATTTAAATATTTAATAATTGTTACCAACGTAATAGTGTGTACAATAAAGAATAAAAATATAGCACGTTTTCTCTATCTCTATATTTCAGACCAAGTGCACGAAGTGGAATCGTCCAGTCCTCTAGACGGGGAGCTTCATCCAGACAACAATGCGAATTCGACATACAGCGAGTCAAGCACGAGGGAGGAGTCGCCTGTAAGTTGTTTTACATTGAGCGCTGATTCAAATATTCAGACTACGGGAAGCAGCAGCAAAGGTGCAAAACGTCTGGTTATGCAATCTTCAGTCTGCCTGCCAATCGTAACGAAGACCGCAGGTGTGGATATTTAAGGGCTGATACAGACTAATTTTCTACAGACTTCAAAAAGGAGACGGTACTCAATTCGACTGTATGTTTTTTTTTATGTGTGTTACCTCATAACTTTTTACTAGGTGAACCGATTTCGATGATTCTTTTTTTATTTGAAAGCTGTGGTGTTTCACGTGTGGTACCATATATAATTTGATTAAGGTCTGACCAATAGTTTTTGAGTTATTCTTAAATAATTTATATTGAAGTCGTTTGTACAAAATTTTTAATTTTATTAAATTATGCGACCATATTTTCACAACTTCAGAGAGTGAATATTGTACCAGCGCATGCGGTGGGCAGATGGATTCGTTAGCGTATACTCATTTTTTATTCTTTTCTTCATCAGGTCGATTTTCTTCTTTTCTTCATCAGGTCGTAAAAGCACACTGCTGGAAATGGAACCCACACGTTGTTGGGAGGATTTGCCATATTGTCATGCTTGACTAGCAGATTGAGAACGTGAGCACCACAACCATGGGTCGAAATATATATAGGGTTATGGTTTCTCATATGCCGTCACACGACTATTGGAATTTTGTACCAATCGAATAGAATAGATACAATTTATTTGCATAATATGTATTTGATAATTTAATTGACGTTTTTACTTATATGATTGTATTACTTGTTTATCGACTTGTCCAATTACTTGCTTATTTACTTGATTTTTTTCTTTATTTTACTTGTTATCTGGCTCAATTATTTTCTTGATATTTTATTGACTATGTAAATTATGGTAATAAATAACCTACTAAGTAGTAGTAAATAAACAAGTATATGTTTATTTACAATATAGTTGGCTATGAAATTGATTGTTTACTTGACTTCTTAACTGTTTTTTCACTTGAATACTTAACTGTTTGTTTGTTTACTTACTTTTTTACTTGTCTGTTTACTTGTGTATTTACTTAATTATTAATTGCACTAATTGAATGCGAGATTTCATTTTATGTTTTTATTATTCATTCATTTACCTATCAAAGTCATAGCTGAATATATGCATTCCCCATAGGTTACGGTAACGGTGTTTGATAAGAAAAACAACATAATTCAATTTAAAAATGGTTTATTTATTGAAACAACATGTGGTGTAGAGCAAAGCGGGCGTGGAGTACGCGAACATCCTGCGCGTGATGGCGGGCTTGAACGACGAGATCCGCGCGCTGCGCGAGCGCGTGGCGGCGGCGGCGGCCGAGGCGGACCAGCTGCGCGCCGTGCGCGACGAGCTGCTCGCCGCGCAGCCCGAGCGCCTCGACCCGCCGCCCGACCCCGAGGACGCCGCCGCCTACCGCGCCAAGATACACGACCTGCAGGTACTCTACTCTACTCTACTCTACTCGACTCTACTCTACTCTACCCTACCCTACCCTACCCTACCCTACCCTACCCTACCCTACCCTACCCTACCAATACCTATGACTAGCAGTAGACTGCTACAAACTGGTGATGACTGGTGATGGTGACATATATACATATACATATCATACACAAGCCGAAAACTGTTTTCTATCAGCAGTGGATGCTAACTTCTTGAGTTATTTTTAAATTTTAAAATAACAACAAAACTACTTTTAGCATTATATTTGTATTCTTATTTTCTAGACGCAACTCAATCGTTCCACCGTCGCCGAGGAAGCAAACCTGGCAGAAATCCAACGGCTAGCATCGAGCGCTGCCGAAATGGAGGCGGAGCTCGCCTTCCGACCGACACGTGCCGACATCGACGATCTTACCGCCGTCGTGGGCAGCCTGCGCAACGAACTACTTGCCAAGGAACAGCAAATCGAAAGCCTCCAGGCAGCTCTAAACAAAGAAAAATCCACTCTCGACAAATGCGTCGAAACTTCCCACTCGTTAGAAGACCTTGTCAAGCTTGACGAAAAACAACAACCCGCAATCGACGAAGACATCGACGCCACGAAGATATCCGCTGAAATAGACGAAATGTTCCAACTGGATTACGACGAAGACGACGAAACGAACTCGGCCGCGACGGAAATAAATCGCGACGCGAGCGAGCCGCCGACGAACGTCGACACTAGCACCGTCAGCGAGTACGTACGCTTGGATGACGAAGAAAGGCTCCAAGTGACGCTTCAGAACGGTTCTCTACACGCGCTCGAGGAGGAACTGGTCCGTGCCAAGGAGAGGTGGGCGGAAGTGTGCGCCGATAGAGCTCGACTAACGGAGCAGTTGGCGGCACTGCAGAACAAACCCCTCCGCTTAGACCTCACGCACGGAATAGCCCTGGTCGTGCCGATAGCGATCGCCTGCCTTTATTACCTTCTGCTGCCTTATATCTCCTGATTGACGGCCTCTTGGGACCCCCCCGGGTACGTTTAGCCCCGACACCCGCCCGGAGCGGCGTTCGACCCACTTTGGGATTTCACGATACAAGTTCAAATTATTGCTCACTACTTACTACATTTTCTATTTGACGTGACGAGCAATCGATTCGCGCCAATCCTATCTTTTAGCATTTCACTAGTCGAAGGCCATCGGATATTATTATGGGTTAGGATAATTTAGTATATATGGATATGGTGTATATACGCCTTCGGTGTGGTTATAGTGCGGTGATTGATTCGATTGGTGCAGGTTGATTTCGCTGTTGTTGAGCTTCGCGTATAAAGTGCCATTTGTTAGTGAAATGGCGTCGCGACGACGCGGGATCGGAGCACTTGTTATTGCATGTATTTTATTAGTTTTGTTTCTGTAAAAAAATCTGTATTTGTATTTGATAAAAAAGATAAAATATTAAATTCGTTGTTTATATCTGCCATAATAACTTGTACATTGTTAATGTTAAGGCCTAACGACTGTATTAAGTTGTAATAAATTATTATTGTACGAAGTCTCCTAATATATAAAATCTCTAAAAGAATTTCTCTGACGAGCGATATATTGAAGCGAAACGAATCTACCGATACAATTAAAATCTATATTGATATTTCTTAGTGTGTTCATCAATGTAAAATATTATACATATGGTTGTGTTGCCGATCGACTGCCGCAGAGATACCGCATCGTAATCGCTTTCGGGAGCTGTCACACATATCATTTTGTGTAGGTTTTGAAGTGTGGGCATCTTGTCTGCATCTGGCCGTTGATTGATATATTTTCGAATCCTTTGCATTTTCTAGTCCTTAGAATCGATTAAATTTGATTGCATGACATTTTACATCTTGCAGTTTTATATTACAAAAGCCTTGATTTAGGAATGTCAATAGATTGTTCGTTATTTGGTGTGAATGGGTTGATTATTTGAGAACTTCTCTGAGATATAATTTTAAATTTGTATTTTTTGTATTAGAGCAGTAATTAGGACCCATGCATCTTAAAATAATATATACAATACCCTAACTTAAGTGAGATTTATCTAATATCTGTATTAGTTGTGTGAGCGAAACTACCGTGATCCGGCTGTCTAACTAAATAGAATGGTGACTTGGGGTCCTAATACAAATGTGGTTACGATTCGTTGCAGGTTTGTTGTTAGATTTTGATAGCCGTTTATTTGTTGCGACATGTTTTAAGTTCCCCATTAGATACGTAACCTTAGTGGTTGGTTAGTAGTTAGTTTCACGCGGCTTGCGGTCTCTGCAATAACGGTGTCGGTCCACCCTCGAGATCGCTTTGCTCTGTGATGTGAAGGCCAATAGATAATTTTGTAACAAAACTTGTATAACTAACAAATTAATTTTATCAATAGATTAACTGTAACATTACTATGTTGAACCACTGTCTATAGAGTTATTTATTATTTTATTGTTGCACTGATTTTTGTTATGTTCTATGTTTTATTTGTGTTTAAACCACCTTATTGTAAATACGTCAAATCTTATACTTTAATGTTTAGTTTCATGCTGTCGAAGACTTTATGTTTCATTCTAGGAAGTAATATAATGCATTCAATGTGGATGTACTGATAAATTTATTGGAAAATAATATTGATTTGTTTAAACATTGCTATTTTTAATTCATTTTTTAAAAGTGCCCTTACAGTAATATTTCCTAACCCTAATAAAACTGCCCGAAGACCCCTAAGGAATGTACTCGAAAGGGGGATGGAATCGTAAAGGATGGAAGAGGTGTGTTCGTCCGACAGTAGGTACTCACGAAAAAACAATAATATTAAAATTAAGCACGAGTGATGATGAAACTTGCCTATTTTTCTAACCGCCTAACCTCTCAAGATCCATAATTCTCCATCCTGTGGACGTCAAATGTAGAAGAACTTATTGCTTTGAACTCGAAAGGGGGATGGAATCGTAAAGGATGGAAGAGGTGTGTTCGTCCGACAGTAGGTACTCACGAAAAAACAATAATATTAAAATTAAGCACGAGTGATGATGAAACTTGCCTATTTTTCTAACCGCCTAACCTCTCAAGATCCATAATTCTCCATCCTGTGAACGTCAAATGTAGAAGAACTTATTGCTTTGAACACATGGTGAACTAACCACTTAAAGGGTTTCAATATATTATATTTTTGTATATGTGATTTTTATGTTTTCGGTGCCTACAGATATACAGTTACATGAAATATTTTAACGGCGTCTGTGGATTCCGTCAGGTAAATAATATCTGTAATATTAACGACCGTACTTAAGATTTCGTGTTTACAATTTTTTTTGATTACTTTTTTTATAGGATAGGGTGACAAACGAGCACACAAGCCACCTGATGGTAAGTGGTTGCTGTGACTCATAGACATCTACTCTTCAATAAAGAATCAAAATGCAGATGCGTTATCACCCGTGAGGACTAAGATGAAATGCCTCATTCCCAGTAAAAATGGTCTCCGGTTCTCTACACTCACAATACGAAACAGCAGTGTTAAGCTGCTATTTACGCTGGTACTGTTTGTTAGTAGAATACAGAATCTACCGGTGTATGTCAGCGTAACGGGGCCACTGCCAGGTGACAAGGCTTTTAAATTTTGTAATAAACGGAAATGGAATTTTAATAAAGCCAATATTCACATGTTGTACGCCTTAAACAAATTGATTGGGGTTATTTGTATGAAAGCCACGGAGAAAGCCTTATCGTACCTATACATAGTTGTAAATGAGGTTATAGACCGTTGTACTCCTAGAGCCCGTGGGAACAATAATAATAGAAATCATTCCAGGTATGTTCACCCAGAATGGTACACATTCGATTTAATGGTACAATTAGTTATAAAGCGAAACTGGAGGTATCATAAACAGTTTACAACGACAAGTGCGCAATGTGATTGCGAAGGGTTGTATCGCTATCGATCTTAGGTAAAATATAAGTAAAAAGTTAATTATGAAGCCTACCAGGAGAGACTACAGTTGAATTTTAAGGATGGCCCTACATCTTTTAGAAATTTCGTAAGACGTAAGCGTAACAAAAATAGAGTCTCAAAAAACGGTCAAGAATTAAGTGATCAGTCGTGTGCGGTGTTTCACGTCTTATTTTCAATCTGCCTATGACGAGACGCGGCCGGTGCTGGATTCAGAAACGATGGAGCGCGCTGTGGTTATGATGCTGGCGCAGCTCGTGTCCATGACAGCCAGCAGAGCGCGCGCGACCAAGCGCTATGTATGCCCTGACGTTATACCGCCTTACATTGTCAAAGACTGTCGCTCCGTTTTTGAAAAGCCTATGCTGCAACTCTTTAACCTGTAAACATGGAAGAGTCATGCTGCAGTTATATTAGTAGTATAGTTGTAGCACGAATGGGTCGGCTCGACCGGGGAAGGACCACGCTCTCACAGAATACCAGCGTAAATTAGCGGCTTAACACTGCCGTGTTTCGCATGGTGAGTGTAGACAACCGGAGACCCTCTTTATATTGAATCTGCATTACATAAATGTATTTATACATATGAGTTACGGGCGCTGATAGGCATCACTACAATACCGTCACTTTCGTACAACACTTGGTGTGCAGACGGTAGCCAAGTTAACGTTTTGTAAGTACATTGTAGATATCTGCGGCAAATTCTTCAGAAACTTAGGTTTTATCGTAAGAAATTGCAGAGATTTACTTAGTACGGGGGTGATTAAAGTTTTTACAATGTACTTGTTTGCAGCTGGCTGGAAATGAGTAGGTACAAGTATTTAGAATCCTCATGAAGATAAATACGAGGGTGGATTGAAAAGTACTCGGCCTAACCAAGAAAATAAACAAATACTAAATCAGTTATATTTTTATTTTTCCACATAATCGCCATCAAGTTCAATACACTTTTGCCACCTCCCCTTCCAAGCATTTAGACCGTTGAAATAAAATGATTCTTCCTTAGAGTCAAAATATGCGTCTACAGCTGCTTTGACCTCGTCGTTTGTCGAAAATCTTTGACCTCCCAAGTGCTTTTTTAGGTTAGGGAACAGAAAGAAGTCTGATGGTGCCAGATCAGGTGAATACGGCGGAAGCGGTAACAGTTCAAAGCCACAGTTGTGAATTTCAGCCATTGACTGTACTGACGTGTGAACACGGGCGTTATCTTGATGAAACAGGACTTTTCTTCTGAGCATTCCTCGACGTTTTTCTTTTATTTCCTCTCGTAAATGACGTAGTAAGGTGCAGTAGTAATCAGAGTTTATATTCTGACCCCTTTCAAGATAATCACTCATAATTACACCATTCGAGTCCCAGAATACTGAAGCCATCACCTTATTTGCCGACAAAATCGACTTAGCCTTTTTAGGGGGTGGTGAACCAGGTCTTCTCCACTGTTTTGATTGTTGTTTTGTTTCCGGTGTACAGTAATGAACCCATGTTTCGTCCATAGTAACAAAACGATTCAAAAAATCATCTGCATCGGCTTCAAATAACTCCAAACATTCGCGTGAAATAGTCAATCGCGTCCTTTTTTGTTCAACTGAAAGCAGTCGCGGAACCCACCTCGCAGACACCTTGTGGAAACCCAACTCGTTGACAATGATGTTTTGAGTTCGTTCATAAGAGATGCCTATAATCTCGGCTATCTCTCTAATTTTTAATCTGCGGTCTCCCATTATTAAATCAAGTACTTTTTTAATATTTTCGTCAGTAGTTGACGTCGAAGGCCTTCCAGAGCGGGGTTCATCTTTCACACTCTCTCTACCACGCTTAAATTCTGCTATCCATTTTTTGACGGATGAATATGACAGAGCACAATCGCCCAATGTACTGACCATGTCATCATGGATGGCTTTTGATGATAGCCCCTTCTTATGGAGGTACTTAATGACGGCACGCTGCTCGATTTGCTCCATTCGCGGAAATTATGTCCGATTACTTTGTTAATAAATTTATAAAATCACAACTAATTATCGCACACGTTTCGAACTTCACACAATGAACTAGTCTGAACTGAACTAAATAATGTGGGTAGATTTGATTTTTAGAATTGAATGGATCTGTGTTAGGTCGAGTACTTTTCAATCCACCCTCGTAAATCACATGGTGGAAAAGATACAAAATAAATTCGCAAGTTTTTTTTTTATTTAAATGACAGCGTCTATCCTTTCAACCGCTGATGTACCTGAGCTTGTTCGTAGTCTGCATGGTCGGGTACAGCCAGCTAGGTGTGGGGCGTGACGTCGCGCACTGCAAATATCTGAGGCGCGTGTTGCGTGGCAGCTGCAATACCGGCGCCACCACGGACATCGTGCACTTCAGCCTGGCAAATTTCATAGAAGCGACGCACAGGGTCTGTGAGAATTTTTTTACAAATATTTTACAAAATTATAAAAATACTAGCGATCTGTTCGGCTTCGCACGGGTGATATCTGGATCTCGACAACAACGCAACCTACCAAAAAAGGTCCAATTGTGAACGTAAAACATTCTCGATTCAACTAAATCACACACAAAATTTCATCAAAAATCCATCACTTTTTTATATAGCATTGTCTTGGTCTTTTACTGATATGTTGCTGTAACTGTTTTTGTAATATGTAAATAATTATTTCCTGTTTCAGTTTCCCTCTGTCACCTTTTGCGAGACACGCGATATTATGGAGTAGTTGATTCTCTTATGCCGCTAATGTTCTGATCTGTAAGCTGAAGTGCCGCAATATAGCTTGAAGAACCGACAACCGACAAAAGAAGGGTTCACGACCGGCAGCCTTTGATTGGCAAGAGCAGTGTTGGGCGACCCTTCACTAGATGGTGTGACGACCTGCTTAAACACACAGATAGTCGAAGGATGCAGGTGGATCAGGACCGTATTTAGTAGCAATCTATGGGGTATGCCAGTTCAGCAGTGGACTTGTAATTTAGTAATAGTGATAGTGATATATTTTTTATTGTCACTACGAGATGGTAATATTGAAGCTTAGCAGGCGGATTGCAGTACCGTCAGTACAGACGTCTGGCATCTTTGACGCTACTCTCCGTGGTTGGTAAGGCTATTTTACGTCTGACGTAAACGATATGGTTGGAAACCGCGATCTATCGGAAGCTATAAGAACTTACTGGCATATTCTAAAGTTTTACGATACCCGCGTGACGAATTAATGGGGTGTTGTATTCCCTTACACCGTCGCAGATCTGTACTCTTAGCTGTCATAACGTGTTATTTATCTCATCTCAAATCTTCAAGATAATGTCTCATACCGTAAAAGTTGATAGCTCGACGTTGGCCTCTCGCATTGTTTAAAGTATTAGTCGTAACGGCCACGCAGGCGGACGGTTTGACGATCACCAGTACCAGTTACCAGTTGTATTGTATCGCACCTTGGACGCTGATACACCTTTGACGGTTTTGATTAATCCATCATATATGAGATTGTATATTACCATATAGGTCTGGCCTTTTTATAGAAGCCTCTAACTATAATAATAGGATGAAATGAGATCATAGATTTTTTACCCCACAACCTCACATACAACTTTAAATATTATACGTCGCCTTTCCGATTTCTTTTTAATATATTGTAATCCTAATTCAGTAAATGTTTTATTTTTATACAAGGATAAAAAATAAACGACCAGACATG